TGCTCCCTAATTACCTTGTAACAATTGGAGATGATCCATGTCTAATACAAACATTTCTAAGATAATTTTTCTAGCATGACCAGTGACCACCTATCAGAATAATTAATTAACAACAAGCCACATATTTATTTCGGTCAAAACAGAACTCACAATTTTTTAATTTTTCATTTCATTTCTTATTTGAGAAAATTGTGTACATGACTCAAAAGTTGGAACTTCGTGTGACGGGTCTCCTTTTATTTTGCCCCATGTTGAATAGCCCCAAAAAGTGACGTTTAATGTTTCAAGTTCCCTCCACGTTAGCATTATACTAAAAACATATTGTATTTTGTAAAAAAGCCAATATTGCTCTTCTCTTTCTTCCCCAGACGAGGCCTCACCCCGAAACAATAGTCACTTCTCGTTAATAGGATATAATGAAAAAATATAGGGAAATTTCCCCTTTTTTATTTCAACTTTTTCTCTTTGTTCACCCTTTAATTTCCAATTTATTTCACCTTTTTCTCGAGGTAACCAATTTATTCCAAAAACAGCTGTTGAAGGGCATGCTTGTAAATAATACGTGGTTTGAGGTCATTCCTGTGAACCGCTGGTTATATATACCGTTGCGAGGTATAGGGTTTCACCTCTGGTGTGCGTTGAAAAAGGCGGCTATGGTTGGCTCTTTTTCTACGGGTTTTCTCTATAAATTTTGATCATTTGGGTGTCGAATATTTATCCATTTGTGTTTTTATTTTGTTACTTGTTCTTTTTTTCAATGCAAATTTTAAATGCAATTTTTTGGAGGGGTCGAGATTGTTGCGATGATGAGATTCTTTTATGAGTAAAAGCTGAAATCTGTGATGGATGGAAAATTTTCCTGAGCGGTTACCTGAGCAACTCTTCTTTCTCCCTTGCCCCCATTTTTTGTCAGAAAATGATTAATCTTCAATTTTTGTGTGTGTACATTTTTTAGTATACATTAATTATTTTCAAGCTTATTAGTAGAAAATACTAATCTACGGAACTCTTGTTCCCAAAAAAAATTTTACTAATTAATAATAAATAAACCCCTAGGACCAACTCCTTTGTGTTTGTTCGTCTGCCAATTCATTTTTTTAGCCTTTCTTTTTTGTAAAGCAATCGCTTGAATGTAGATTTACCCAATTAATTCTTACGATTTATCTTTCTTACCTCTCTGGAAACTCTGATTTATGCACGTAAATAATCATTTTAATCTTATTTGAAACCAGATACGAGTGGTTGATTGGGATCTAGATTCTCTTTAATTTGATGGTAATTAAAGAGAGTCAAATTACTTCAATACTCGTTTACTTGTCAAATTACTTCAGTACTCATTTATGCCAATTTTTCCAATTTTAAAGAATAAGATGAATTCGCTTACATCTTGTTTGGATGGAAGTTAATTGATAGAAGTTAAATAAAATTTTAATTTTATCTTATTTGGGATTTTTTTGAGGGGCTAGAGGTTGGGATGGAAACTAAGGGGCTGTTCGTTTGGAAAAAAAAACCTGGAAATCAAAAAATAGGAAACCTATTTCCTATTATAATGGTTTTGAAGTTGTTTGGTTGGCTTAAAAAAAAAGGAAATTATAGAATAGGAGATGAGATGAGATGAGTTGTCACCTTATTATTGGATGATGTGAGTGATTTTTTAAAAAAACTTGTTTTGAGGTTGTTTGGTTGGTTAAAAAGATAAGGAAATGAATTGGAGGTATATTATTGGATGATGTTTTGAGGTTGTTTGTGTTTGGTTCGTTTTTAAAAATAAGAAAATAGATGAGATGAGTTGGAGGTATATTATTGGATGATGTGACACGTACTTATGGAAATTGATTTCTTGTTTTTTTTAGGAAATGGATGGAAAGGAATGTTTAATGAGATGAGATGAGTTGACACAATATTATTGGATGATGTGTGTGATTTTTAAAAATGAGATAAAATGAGATGTGATGAGTTGGATGATGTGACACATTTTTTGTGTTTGGTTTATTTTTAAAGGTAAGAAAGGAGATGAAATGAGATGAGTTGGAGGATAAAAATAATATTTTATTAGATGTTGTGGTGAGTTTTAGGGATGGAAATGGATAAAAATATTATTTTATTGATTTCCTTGTACCGATTTCCTTTTCTTAGTTTTTAGGAAATCAACCAAACAGCCCCTAATGTAAAATTTAACAACGTGATAAGATAATTTTACCCTTATGATAGTAAAATCAATAGTTAAGATATACTTTCATCCAATTTGTAAGGATATTTATGTAACTTTATACATATTTACTTAACTTCTTCTTTATTATAACTCATAAATAATGTAAAATAAATTTATTTCCATTTCTCTTACTAAACTCTTAAGACAACATTTTATCTTGTGACTTTCATTACCTACATTTCTTTTTCAATTATTTAACTTTCCGTCCTTTCTCTTATAGTAAACTCCCTAACAAAGCATTAGGATTGCCACTGTTATCGTCAAAATTACTATTGTCTTGAACATTACTATTTTGAATATCGCTTTTATGTTCAAATTTCGGCATCATCTTATTCCGTAAAAATGTAATTTTCTTAAAAAATAGAATAGACGGAAAAAATTGAGGAAATAGGATCTTCTCTAATTAATCTGAATTTGATTGGTATATCTTATTTCCTATCTAAAGGTTAATATGGTAATATTCTATAAGATCTTCCTTTCTTTTTCGGGCCCATCGATTTGGGCGCTCAACTCCTAAAACTTTATCCCCGTCTCAAGTGATTACGGGGACAAATCCTCCGCTATGGCCACGAAGGAGATCGGCACTTATTTCTCAACAATTTGGAAGAATTAAAATAAAGATTGATGGGGAAAAGGAAAGAAAAAGCTTTTGTATCATCTCCACTATTACTTCAGACCCAAATCTTATGAACTGCAAATTAACTTTATAATCTATTTTTATAAACTATTATGCATAGCCATCAACAAATCAATACTTAACCCTCATCTGCAAGCTAGTTGGCTGTATTTTTTTGATTACTAGATGAGGGGTTCAAGCAAATAAATTTAGAAAAACGAAGTTTCGAGCACCAAAGAAGACTGTTTCTTTTGGGATCATAACAAGTAAGCTTTGGAAACCGCCCTTATAAGTTGAAGAAAATTACCAAAATGCTAGTCGAAGTAAAAAAATCAGAAAGAAACATTACGGCTCCGTTTGAACAAAATGTTGTTTTACTTATTTCCACTATGTTCTTATCAAAAATAAAACATTATGCATTTAAAACTCATAGTGTTTTTTGAACTAAATCATCCTTAAATCGAAAATATAACACTTATTTCAAAACATATTTTAGATGTTTTAAGTTTGATATTTTGGTTTTGAGTTTGAGAATGTATTAATATAATATCTAGCATAATATGTTAAATATAATTAATATATAGTTATTATCAACATACTTATTATATTATATTATAATTAATATATATTATAATATATTAGTAATATTTATTAAATAATATAAATATATCATAATTAAAATATCTTATATAATAATATAAAAATAATATTAATTTAAAATATTATACAATATATATATATTATATTATATTAATAATTATAATAACATTATAATGTAAACTAAATATTATAATATTTTTATTATAATTAATATATAATATATTAATAATATGTTTAATACTAATGTTGTAATATGTCAAACTAATGTTGAACAAAAACACTCAACATGGTGTTTTGAAAACACTTTAAGTGAAAAACACAATACCATAATGTTTTTTTACAAAAACACAAGAAGGAAAAAACTATGGTCTCCAAACGAAGCCATCGCTACTTTAAAATCTATTTTTGAATAAAATTAACTAGTTAGTTGTCAACAGATACTAATTTTACAGCAATTTTTCCCTAAATCTCGCCGCCGTTGTTAGAAAATAAGATACACCAACAAGAATAGGTAACAACTATATCGCCGCCGCTTTTGTTCTTGATGGTGCGAGGTATGACATCCTATAGCCAATTGTGAATCGGACGATGACACACGTTGCGTCACGTGCGCAAAGAGAAAATGAGGGTAACCAAATCGTAATTTTAGGACGCGTTTGGATGGGCGATTTAGAGCCCGAAAGTCTGCCACAGTGTCCCATCTGTGGTAGCTTTCGGGCAAAATCGCCTCTAAAAAAGACGATTTTGCTCGAAAGTTGTCACAGATGGGACACTGTAGCAGGCTTTCGAGCTCAAAACCCCCTCCGAAACTCGTAACCGAACGCGCCATTAATGACTGCAAGGTCTAAGTATCTACTTGAAGAACCCCCCACCCCCCACACGCCCCCAAACTAACAAGCAGTCCCTCTAGTTTTCTACTTCCGTATTAATACGTCATTGGTCCCTTAAATCCTATGGTTGTTACAATTTGGTCCATTAAGTCACCGAAATACTCTGAGCTAGTGCTATTTTAAGGGCTCTTTGCAATTTGACACTCTACATTGTATACCTTTAAAACTTTGATACCCTAAATTTTATATTTTTTTCATTTTTATACCCCAAAATTTTTGACATTTTTGATACCTCAGATTTCTTTCTGAGGTACCCAAACTTTTAGCTTGTGTGCCCAAATATTCCACACTTTTTAAATTTGATACCTCAGATTTTACACATTTATAACTTTTACACCCTAATATTTAGGGTATCAAAGTGTGTAAATAAAATTTTAGAATATCATAGTTAAAAGGTATAAACTTTGTCTTAAATAAAATGTCAGAAAAAACTGTGAGGTATCAAAGTTAAAATTTGTTGAGATTTTAAAGTTAAAAAGGTGTGAACTTTAGAATATCAAAGCACAAATAACCCTTTTTGAAACAAGACAAGTTTTAAAAGGGAAATTATAACTAAGGGATATTTTGGTCACGGAAAGAACGAATTGCAAGATCCATAAGGAAGGGACCATTGAGCAATTATTGAGAAGGGACTAATATGAAGTTAATAAGATTTGAGGGGCTAATATCTAAATGACCCAAAAACAAAATATGCACGCACTGATTTTGACCTTGCTGGCCAAGTTTCAGCTTTCAGAGCTCAGCAGCATCTCTAATGGCGGAAACTAGCCGACCCTGGTTTCTAGAGTCTGTTCCTCTTCTCGTGATGGTTCTCATGGCTGCTCATCTCTCAGCTTTGGTACACAAAACCCTTTCTCCCCCACCCCTTGATTTATCTTTTCTCTGCTAATTGATATATTTGATATTTTTGGATCTTTTGATTAGATTTATTGGATGTACAAATTAGCTTCTCAAAAGCCAGACCCTCGTAGAAAAACCCATTAAGGTAAGATCTCTCTGTTTTCTTTTATTCAATTCATTAGCGGATTAGTAGAAAGTAATCACGATTTATTTAGCAATTAGGGTTTATTTAAGTTGTGAGAGGAAGTTCCTAAATTAATGGGTTTAGTGTCGATCTTGCAAGTTTATAACTTAGAGAACTATCAGTTTTTATTCCCACGTCTCCTAAAGGAGATTTACAGTTTTTCTAAATATTTTTTTTAAACAAATGTAATATTGCAAACTAGTAAATTAATTGCCAAATATTACATTTTTGTCTCACTTCTTAGTTTTAGCATTTCTTAGACTTGAAGTTATTTTTGGTTGTGCTGACATGCTTAAGTTAATTAGGAATTATTCTTTGGAAGGGGTTCTTTAGTTTTCAGAAGAGTACATCTAAAATCATTGACCTGAAGGCTTCTTATGCATAACTTCAATACAAGTTATCTTTGTGCACGCACGCACGCAGATTGTTCCTTTTTCTAGGCCATGACTAATTTCTAGTAAAGCATGGCTCTTCATGCTACCATAGTATTCATAATAACATTTTTCTAGCGCGGTTTTGGGTGATATAACTAAAATAAGCATTTCTTTCAGTGCTAAATACTTACTCTCTACCTACTCTCTAATGGTAAACAAACCCACTAAACTCTAATATGCATCAGTTGTTCAGGGAATTGTGTGACTTGAAAGATAAATGCGGGATGGTTAAGAAAATTATAATGGTAGATTAACCTAATTTTTGTCGCAAAATACACAGCCAAATTGTACTACTTGCTTTACTGGCTCATATTGTTGTGGGCTCTTTAGATGTTAAAGATGCTCGTATAAATCATAACCAACTTATTTCTCTTGCCTACAGTCCAATGGCCATACTAGCTCATGACCCATATTCCAAATCATCAGTACTTTCGAATTCAAAATGTACGTAATAAACTAAGGAAAGTAGAAGGGGGATGAAAAGGAAGTAGGCATAGATTAATCTATCCCAAAGAGATCAATGTGTCATCTTTAAGATAGTCAATTAAATCATAAGGAAATGAAAAGCATGATAGTTGACCCTTATGGTGGTTGGTGTGTTTGTAGCCTCAGTAAGGCATGATTTGCATGGTTCCTATGTTATCACCGAGTCACCGACACTATTTGGTTAGTTATGCGGGGGGGGGGGGGGGGGGTGTTAATGAAAATTTAGTCTGAGATTTTGCCTTATCCCTCTTGTAACATAAGTGGAGATGGAGTTAAATAATGATCATGATTGCTAATGCATTTCATTTCAGAAATGTACACAAAAGAATGGAGTCCTGAATGGTAAGCTTGTAATAGAGCACCAGAACGATGCATGTTTCTTCTTCTTTTGTAACTGGATTTGGATATAACATATATAACCAATTTGACATCTTAGAGGGAAGTTAATAATGGATACATCAAATAGTGATACTTTTGATTTGATAGATAACAATATAAAGGGTCAAATAATCAGTACTAAATGCTTGATAAGCGAGAATAAGGGCAAAGAATGTGCTTGGCTTAGTTTGACTACCACCTGTTTACAATGATGTTATGTTCTGTTTTTCGTTGTTTTGGTGGATATGCTAGAATCAATTAGCAGCCTAGGGTATAGTTAATTATTTAGTTCTCTTGCAATCTAGGAGGGTGGAATGTGTCAGATCCAAGAAGACCCATTTGCTTGTCCATTTGAAATTTCAGTGGTTTTTTCTGCTGGCACTCATGTATGAATCAGTTTGCATTACGACATATCAAGAATTGAGACAAACATGGATTTAGGCAGTCTGATCATACAAGGGATACCTGTGGGTTGATCTTGGTAGAATCCAACAAATTCTTTGGTTGGCTCATTTCAAAATTTTAAGTATCTTTACCTAAATCAAAAGGCAGGTGGGCCTGAATTCATATTCTAATCCATGCCAGCAGATTAACCAATATAGAATTTTTTTTCGGTTTTCTCTTCCTGTAGCCAAAATATATAAGCATTCTGAAAAAATGTCAGTGACCTCTCTGTTCCTGAGCTCAGAGTAGTCTTGTTTAACACTTTGGGTCTATTTCATTTTATCTTGCGTTTTATTTTCCATATTAAATTTTGTACTATATTCAGCGAAAGGGTTTATAACTCTTGTCTAACCAACATTGTGTTCAAAATTTTCAGGAGTGTTGTTGAAGGTGTCGAATCAAATGAACCAGTCTACTGTTTTTTCTCGCCATGCTAAAAAGTTTTCTTTCTCATTAAACGGCAGTTGAATGATGTTCAAATTGATTGCTTGTATTATGTCAGTTCTGCATTTTTGTCCTATGTTCGATAATCGCTGAAGTGGTTTAACGCTACAAATTGTAAGCCATATGAAGGAGTGAGATAAACTAAGAAACACGAAAAGACTTTACATGTACCTTTAGCTTGAATATTTTCTCTGTGAATTGAAGTAAATATATTTACTTCAGTTGCTCTTGTGTGTTTTTGAACAAAAGGCAGGTAAACTATCTTTCTTATTGTAATAAGGGAATTGTCTTCATCCATTTGAAAGATTTGATTTCTTTTGGGTTATTCCATATCAGTTCCTCAACTGTTTCATAATGTAGGAAAGTATTGAATTTGCTGTTAGGCCCCTATGAATTGAAGAGTATTCCATCAAATTCAGATTAGCTTGTTGGACTATGAATTTGAATTGAGGAGTATTAGTGTTGATATTAGGAGTGAGGGGGAGGAAAGAATTTTTCGCATTCTCAGAAAATGAAGCATGTAAGTAAGAGAGAAGGAAGTCTGACGTTTGGAAGGTGGAAGTTTTTAAGTGAGGTTAGTTTGGTAAATATGCATCTATGATTCTATAGTCCATAGTCAAACACTATCTCAAACTTTTTAAGCACGTTGGATGGATTAAACGTTGTTAACACATTGGATGGACTTTGTAATGGAGGGGCTCACTTCAAACATTTTAATTGATTTGGGGATCTAATAGCAGTGTCAATGATTTGAGAGATCACTCTCAAATCATGGAGGATTAGATGGATAAATAACCAAATAAGATTTGATGGAGATGAATAACCCAAATGTAAAACCTTAATTTTAAGCTTCTATGAGGAAACCCCTTTAACTTTGAGACAAAGTGTCGAAGTTAAAGGGAGTTTTATGATAACTCCTAAACATAAACGGGGTTTTCTAATATTTTCAAACTTATGGGGAGTTTTACCCATGAGCTTTGCTATATAGACCCAAAATTTGAGACCAACATGGGGAATATGTGAGATGTCTCCCTCCTATTGTATAATAAGCTGATCTTATTATGCAATGGGAGGAGGTATCTCACCTGTGCCCTTCTGTTCCATATTTTGAGTACTTAGGGAATTTTTCTTTACCCATTAATCATCCTAAGCTAAGTGGTGTTTTCTGATGTTTAGCCTTCTACATTTTCGGCCACTCTTGATACGACGTGAAATGTGGAAATAAAAATCTACATATTTCTTAAGGCTTGTTTGGATTGAGGGAAATAAGGGTGAAGAGAAGTTAGAGGAACCATTCATCTTGTTTGGGAACATTTAGGAGGTGAAATTATTCACTCTAGTTCCCCTTGGTTAATTTGTTACCCCAAACCAAATTGGGGTATAACCAAGGGGAAGGGAAATCTCTTCCCTTCCCTCCCCTCCCCTCCCCTCCCCTGGTTTCCTTAACTTCCCTTAACCACATTGAAATCCAAACACCGATTGAAGTTTAACTGCCGCCCGGAGGGGTACGGTTCGGATCTGCAGATCGCGCTCCTCTGTTTCTTCCTTCTCTCCCCTCATCGCCATTATTCATCTCTTAAGAACCCATGGCCTCCTCAAATCTTGTCCTCTCTCTAACCTCCCCCTCTCCTCTCTTCTTATTTCTCCCACCTTTCCTCTTCCACTCCCCCGACATCACATAACAACCCATCACCTCTCCCACTCCTCTTCTTCACAAACCCATCACAATTCAGACACTTCCCTTTGGAACTCCACCATAAAATCCCACATTGATTCTGGCCGTCTCAACACTGCCCTCTCCCTCTTCTCCTCGATGAGGGGCTCCCCTTACCACCCTCGGCCTGACCATTTCACTCTTCCTCTAATAACCCGTGCGATTTCGGCCCTCGGCGGCCGCATTGATCTCGGCAATGCCGTCCATGGTCTTGGAATCCAAATGGGTTTTGGAGGTAATGCCTATTTCTGCAATGGTTTGATAGATATGTACGTCAAGTTTGGTTGTTTGAGCTGTGCCCGTCGTCTGTTCGATGAAATGCCTGATAGAGATGTTGTTTCTTGGACCTCTGTCATCTCGGGTTATGTCCAGATTGGGGATGCTATTGAATCGTTTCGGTTGTTCAACGAGATGAGATGGGCTAGTGTTGAGCCGAGCTCGGTGTCGCTTGCGGTGATTCTGAGAGCTTGTGGCGTTGCAGAGGACGGAGGTTGGGGAAGGCGGATGTACAGCTTTGTGATCAAGAGAGGGTATGAAGACTACGAACTTGTTCGGAATTCATTGTTGACAGCATTTGATAAAATGGGTTATGTTGAAGATGTGGAGAAATTATTCGGCAGTATTTCGAAGAGGAGTATTGTTTCGTGGAATATTCTAATGTCAGCATATGCATCAAGAGGAGACCCATGGAAAGTGATAGATTGTTTTGAGAGATTGAGGAGGGAGTTAGATCCTAGCCATGAGACTTCTCCAAGGCCAAAAGTTACATGGTCTGGCATTAAAAAGTGGTCAAATTGACATGGTGCTCGAAGCTAGTCTTGTCGATTTCTATGCAAAGTGTGCGGATCTGGTATTGTCTGTTTCGATATTTGACGAAGTGAGAGCGAAGAATAAACATGTATGGGGTGTTCTGATGCGGGGATTTATCCAAAATGGACAATTCGCTGACGCAATCACCTTGTTTTGGAAAATGCAAGATTTTGGTTATGACCCGTGTGCCGATTCCCTAAGGGGCATAATTTTTGCATGCACGGAACTTGGATATTTGCGATTTGGAAAAGGTGTTCATGGATATCTAATTAGGAAATATTTTTGCAGTAGCTTCAATATGGACACATTGGAGACTTCCATCCTTAACATGTATGCAAAATGTGGAAGCATTGTTTTGGCACGCAGGTGTTTTGATAAAATGTTGCACAAAGATATCATAGCATGGAGTTCCATGGTTGAGGGATATGCGATCCATGGACTTGGGTCCAAGGCTTTGGAACTGTTCCATCAAATGCAAGAGGAAGGAGTTGAACCAAATAGCATAACTTTTCTTAGTTTGTTATCAGCTTGTAGCCACTCAGGACTCATTACTGAAGGCTGTGATCTGTTTGATTCCATGTCTACAAATTTTGGGATTCAACCTGAGTTAAACCATTATACTTGCATTGTGGACCTTCTCGGCCGTTGTGGGAAGCTATACGAAGCTCTGGAAGTGATTAACAACATGAAGTGTAAGCCCGATGCTCGGATTTGGGGGGCTTTGCTTTCTTCATGTTGGGTTCATTCAGATGATATGCTTGGCAGTTATGCAGCTCAGCAGCTCTTCAAATTGGAACCAGGTAATATGGGTTATCATGTTGTACTGAGTAACATTAATGTTGGTGAAGGCAAATGGGAAAAGGCTGAAACAATTAGAAAGGATGTGAACATAAGGAATGTTAAGAAGAAACCAGGTTGGAGTTGCATAGGAGTACAAGGAAGGTTCTATGTATTTGTCGCTGCAGATACATTGCACCCTCAAGTTGATGAAATTTACAGGACTCTAGTGTGTTTAACATGGCATACTGAAGGAATAGGGGATGGGGGCCCTCATGTACTTTCTACTGGAATAATCGTCAATGCGATTGATAGAGAAATGGTTTGATCCGTGAAGATAATTCATGTTGTGCTCATTGCCAAGTTATATTCATACTGTCACGATTATTGGGTTGAACTAAAACTCGATAAAAAAATTTATCTTTATACTTGAAGGGACGCTTGTGCCCTTTAGAATCTTAGATCTTCTTCTATACTGTCAGATTTCTCAAGCAAATTTCCTGCACAGCGTAGATGCAAGGTTTGGTGGTGTGGTATTTGTTTAACAAGGAAAAGGGTGAAGTTATGAAGTGTTCAAGCTTTCCTTTGGCCAGCAAAGTATCCGGATGGTGAAATTGCTAATTGTACTCCAAGCTGGCCATAGTGTTTGAGCTAAGCTTTGCTTGGTAGTAACTGCTCTGAGCTTGAGTCTCCAATTGAATGTATATGGCCTCCCATGGCAATCCTTCTGAGTGAAATATCTTTTGATTTTGCCCATAGAAAGAGATAAAGGCCTCCAATGACAAGTATGGCTCCAAGAATGCTGCATATAAATTGACATGAATCATGATGAAATTGAAAGTACTGATTTCATCACACGCCTGATTGACGTTATGTTGCAGAAAAAGTGGAGGCTTAAGGCTCACCTTTCTAGTTGTGCTAGTTTTCCCAAGATGACAGTCTCGAGAATGAATGAGAAGATGATGAGCAAGGGGCAAAATCCGGTCGCAAAGACGGCGCCTTTTTTGTGTAAGCACCAAACTTGCATGTAGAATGCCAACCCACTGACCATCATTCCCTGAAAAGTAGTTAACAAGTATCACTAATTGCGCATGCAAGTACTATGTGCTAGAATTTGTTCCCTTTAGGTTAACGGTTTCTCTTTTTGGATTTTTTTTTAAAAAGACTTCTCTTGGATTGTTTTGATGGACAGTCACTTGAACTTCTTGCTGACTAGTCCTTCTGCATTATGATTTTTCCCCCAGCTTTTACGAACACCAATTCTTTTTGCTTGGGTGATTGATCTTGAGCCAACTCCTTGTGGAGCTTTCAGAAGACATGAAATACTTGTTACAGGTAATCTCCTATACTCTTTGCTCTTGTAAAATCTTAATGGAGATGTGGTATCTACCTTTTAGAAGAGTTGAATTGAAAACGGGGTTTGTGACCATGATGCTTACGATGATTGACAAACAAATAACTTGACAAAACCTCATCTTTTTCAGTGATAAGGATGGAAAGTCAATGTATCTACTTGGGTGTTTGTGTTTGAATATCTGAAACAGTGAGAGACAATTAAAAGTGTTAATCATGCTATATTTACCCCATATAGAATGGCAAGGAGCTGGAGGTTCCCAGACCACCTTATCCTCCAAGAGGAAGGTCTTCTTTCTGTTAAAACCGCTATAGCTGCAGTTTGAAGGGTGCCAGAGATATTTGCCATAGTGGTCAAGGTAAGATATGCTGGATACTTCACAGCTACATTTTCCTGCATGACAAAAACATATTTCTTCATAGTTAAAGCCATGGGAAAACTATTTGTGGATTCTAGATTAGACTAGATTCGGAACAGCTTGTTTAATTTCGTCTCAAGTTTCACTTGACAAGTTTCATTTTCTTATAAAAAAATGCATAGTGGATAACTCTCTTTTGTACATGTTATGACAGTTGTTTTAAATCATTGTATAACAGCTATTGTCACGCCCCGGGCCCCCGGGCCCGTTGGCGCGTGCAAGCCATGAGACCCAGCGAGTGTAACGCACCGTTTGGCTCAAACCACTATCAAAATTAACTAGCCGATGATACACTTGAGTCTTTAGCTTTCACTATATAAACACTTTAATTTCTCATTCTCCCACCGATGTGGGACTAAATTTTTTTGCACATGTCGCTATCAGTGGGATGTTACATTTTACCCCACCTTATAAAGGTGACGTTCTCGTCGCGGCATGACAATTAGTACATCCCAGTATCAGCGTCAGGCGATGTGGACTCTAGAGGTGGCTCCCACCGCATCACACGGTGTAACACTTAGCCCCGCATAGCACTTAGCTCCACACTTACGGCTAGCAACTGCTCTGATACCATTTGTCACGTCCCGGCCCGCGGGCCCTTTGGCGCGTGCAAGTCGTGGGACCCACTAAGTGTAACGCACTATTTGGCTCAAACCACTGTCAAAATCGACTAGCCGATGTTACACTTGAGTCTTTAGCTTTCACTATATAAACCCTTTAATTTTTCATTCTCCCACCGATGTGGGACTAATTTTTTTTTGCACATGTCGCTATCAGTGGGATGTCACAGTTATAATATTAATTTTTTTCAACATACAATACTAAGTAATAAACATGAATTTGAACAGATATTCTACGGAGAGAGCGATAAGTCCTAGGTTCAAGTCATGAAAACTAACGAAAAAAAAGAAAGAAGAAAAACTAACAAAATATAGAGAGGAGAAAAACTGACATAGAATGGAAATTGGGGCCTAGAAATATTTAAAATGTCATGATATTCTTACAAAAATATCATTATATGTTATGAGTACCACGTAAATTACTCAATAGTCAATACTAACCATCAAAACATTGCTAGTTGCCAAGCTAAGTACTGCAGTTCCAACCATGACATAGCCAACATATCGAACTTCTGTTGTTGGATGACCAATTATCCTGTCCAATATTGGATGCTCTGGGTTTGATAACAACACCATCATAAAAGCTCCAGCACCTGACATAAGGACCCCCCATAACTTTGCTTGGTGATAAAACTTGCAAAACTGAAATTTCTCTTGTCGAGAAATAACTGCAATGAGGAAGACCACCACTGGAATTATGAGAAGAGCCACACTCTGGAAATTTGGTGTAATGTATCTGTGGCTAGACGTCATCAACAACTGCCCTACCGGTACCCTTGATATAGTTTGAGAATCATACTGTTATGTTGGTGAAAGATATTGCAGAAGTTATACATTTAAATGTAATCAAATATATTCTTGGAGATTTAAGAAGTGATAAAGCAAGAAACTAAAATCATTTCATCTGTCTCCTTTTAGTAATGAAACTTGTCGTAATTGTGGAATTTATCAAGTTGGGAACCATAGAATCATAAATTTAGTCATATCAAACATGTGGAATTATCGAATCAATGATTTGTTGATTTGGGAGAAGATTTTTCCAAAGCTGATTACTTGGGGTCTAGTTTTTCCAATACCGAGCTTTGGCGTGCAGTTTTACAGATACACATGATTTATGGTGGTATATATATACAAAAAAAGCCTTGTGAATTTATATATTATATATCCTAACTTGAGAATTGATGGGTACAGGTAGCCCAGTTGAGTCCAGAGCCGACTTCAAACAGATTCTTGATGAATCTATTGGAGACAAGTTTTGAACCTGATGCCACTTTAAATTCGGATACAAAGATTGAAAATCGGAACCTAACCGAACATGCACCAGCCCTTTTACATGTTATATATAAAGAAGAACGTACTCAACTGTAAGAACCCGATCAAGAAGGCCCAAAAGACTACACTACATGTAAGTTCTGGCCTTTTCCCCCTGGTAAGAAAAGAAATGAAGGATGTAAGAGCTTTGAAATTTGAAGTAGGATAAAACAGAGGTGAAATATGGAGGTACCCTTTTCTTTTTCTATTTTTTCTTTTTTTTCCATTTTTTAAGCTTACCGTTCAAAGTGGAATGCAAGGGAAGCAAGGAGTAGTACAGAGATGAAGTGCTCGTAAAGGACAAGTATAGTGGAACTGATGCCTTTTCTGGGATCAACGACAACGGATACCAGTGATATGTAGGCAGCGAGGATGAGCTGATTTGAAGTCATCAAGAAGTACGGCTTGATGGTCTCCATTGCTGATCTCATTTGTCGAATTTTTAGTTATTTTGTTTTTTATGGCTAATCAGCTCTTCTTTAAGGAAATGAATGCAAGTGTTGGGTTTATGTATGGAATGACGATCACAAGGGTTTGGCAGCGGAGTTTGGTATAGGGAGTTTCTTTAGCCTTCTCATATTGCACTTGAACTTTGTTGCTTTGGGTTGGATTGGGTCAAGTTAGGCTTGTTTGATTCCGAAAACCTGCCTAATTTTGTGCCAGTTTATACACCAGAATCTATAAAGGAGGAATCTCTAAAGGGTAACATCAGTTTGGGACTGCCATGGATCCCACCTGCTGCTCCTGACTGTGTCCTGTCTGAAAATTTATCCAGTCATTCTGTGTTTTAAGTCATATGTTAAACTGTTAGGTATTGACCCCAAGTTCTCTTTTATATTCATAACTCTCTATGATCATATTCGAGGTAGGACTATACTCACACATGAATGCTCAACAATCTCAACCTCAATCCGAGTTATTAACTATCCTGCCTGCAATCCTAGGGAAATACACTGTTTTGCTCGTCTACGATCATACGTCAAGTCCCAGTTACGACTGCATTTTATTTCCTGCAAAAAAAAGTTAATGTAAAATAACAGCTGCCCAATATTCTATTTTTTGCAGGGACTTATCAAGGTTCAAAACTGTTATGACCAGTGGAAGAGAAAGCCAACAAGCTTCCAGATTAGGGAGTAGGAACTCATGCCAAACATAATGGTACTCAAGTTTGATACAGACAACTAACTGCTACTTCCCAATGAGAACAGCCTTCATGGAATTCTTCTTCCTGATTTCATGGACCTCATTTTCGCTCTTATTGGTATCTGCTCAAAACTTAACTACGTGTATCTAATTCCCTGCAAACTCTTTCCTCTATCGGCCAAAATGTTTATTCCGGCTTCAAAGGCAAAAAGGACAACGGAGCTTGAGCCATGCATGAATTTCACAATTCTGGAACATCAAGACCAAGTCCAGTTACAGAAACTATAGATTTACGGGTGATTTTATTTCTGGGCATTCAGTGCAACAACGAGCCAAGTTTTCGCAGGCTAACGATCATTATCTACGCTGTCCTGCTCACCATCAATGGCTCTCTGATCAGAATCTCTGGTGAATGTTTTTGTTCATCTTTTGCACTGTCTTTCGATTTCACCCAGAGGAAGAGATACATACCGCCGATCACCAGTAGAGCCGCAGCCATGCTGAACAAAAAATTCAAGGATCAAATATTTGATTCCTGTAAGAACTCAACATTGAGTTAGAGTTTCCTAGCTCTTGCAAGTTGCAACAAAAAAGATAGCAATAATTATTCAAGTGGTGCAAAAATAACCTCCAAGGTTGTGCAGAAGCTCCAAAGAAAATAATCTGCAGTAGGAATGAGAAGACGATGAGCAATGGTGTGAGCAATGGTGAGAATGCCGATGCAAAAACTGTAATCGATCTTGACGATGATGAATCGTCGGATGAAAATTGTAACTGACAGCTTGCCGATGAAATAATAAATGATGATTTAGAGTACTCGCATTGTCTCCATGATGTAATACAGAAACTGTATGACAATCCCGATATACACATGCCGCTTCGGTCATCTTGTACAATGAAGAAGTGCATTTAGGATTCCTCCGGAACAACCCTAGTCCTACCTGCAAAAGCAGGGGGTGGAAAAGAAATAATCTTTGGTAAAGGAGAGTCATCCCCACCCTTCGATCTCTTCTTGGAAACCAATACTGATGATGAAAGGCCCGGACGACATTTCTTCAGATATAGTTCACAAGCAAGTGATTACATGAAGAAGCAAGGATATGACCTCACGCTCGGTTAAGGTCTTCGTTTTGATCAAGGTATCCGGGTACCACCCCGTCCTGCCTATGTACCAAAAGAAAAACCTGATAATTATTACAGTCACAGAAGAGGTTTGGGCTATGTCTCGTCATCTGATGACGAACATTGCTGGCAAATCATCAACCAGCTAACAAATAAAAATGGGTATTCGGCTGATTCCTCAAATTGGGATTCTGACATTAGAATTGGAGAAATGTTCAAAGGCTTAATGTCGAACATGGCCACGATCGATTCTTCTACAACAGAAAAAGATGATCAATTACCCACTTGGGAAGACCCCTGGATACATTACATGAATATTCATTATGGTGATCGATTCGAACAGAGAGAACCTCTTACTGAAGACAAAGTGGTCTAAGTCAATATGGGTAATGAAATCAATCCGAAGCCTATATTTATTAGCGATAGTCTTCCATCAGATGAGAAAGAAAAATTAATCGCCCTCATTAGAGAGTATATCGACGTTTTCACTTGGAATTACGAAGATATGCCAGAATTGGATCTAAATGTGGCAATGCATAGCCTTAACATTAAACCAGATGTCAAACTTGTCAAACAACAACAGAGACAATTTCATCCGCAAATTATAGAGGTGATAGAAGTAGAAATCAAGAAATTGATTGATTCAGGCTTTATTAAAGAAGAACAACATCCCGAATGGTTAGCAAATATCGTTCCAGGCCTCAAAAAGAATGGAAAATTAGAATTTGCATCGACTTCAGAGATTTGAACACTGGTTGTCCTAAAGACGACTTTCCTCTACCGATTACAGACGTCATCATCGACAACACGTGCGGATTCAAGATAATGTCGTTTATGGATGGATTTTCGGGGTATAATCAGATTAAGATGCACCCAGATGATGAAAAATATACCGCATTCAGAACACCTCTTGGTGTCTTTTGTTATATTGTTATATCTTTTGGTTTGAAGAATGCTGACGCTACTTATCAACGGGCGATGACAAAGATTTTTCAAGAACACCTCCGGAAGACCGTCGAGTGCTACGTCGATGACTTGGTTGTTAAGAGTCGCGACAAGAACGATCATATTAATGACCTAAAAATGATGTTTGATCTTATGAGGAGTCATCAACTGAAAATGAATCCTACAAAATCTTTTCTCGGAATGTCCAGCGGTAAATTCCTTGGATTCGTCGTCACCATAAAAGGCATCCAAATTGATCCCGACAAAGTGAAAGCGATACACCAATTGCAACCACCGAGAAATCTTAAAGAGCTCAGAGGATTGCAAGGACAGTAGCTTATATTCGTCGATTCATATCAAACCTTTCAGGAAAATGTCAACCATTCTCCAAACTCACAAAGAAAGTCGTATCATTTGTTTGGGATGAAGCCTATCAAAGAGCATTCGAGGATATCAAAACATACCTAGAGAATCTGCCCATTCTCGTTGCACCGAAGTCGGGTAAACCATTTTTTATTTATGTCAAAGCGACGAGCCATTCGTTAAGTGCATTGCTTGCACAAGACGACGATAACTGTCACGAGCAAGCAGTATATTATCTAAGCCCTTCCACTCGACACCGTCGGATCACTAAGGCCGATTTTCATCCCTGCTCGACGGTTGGGTAGGTGCTAAATCTCGATATCCGATGATTGAGAAAGAATGTCTCGCCCTAGTATTCGCGATTTAGAAAATACGACATTATCTAATTGGGCAAGCAATTTGTGTTATCTCCAACGTGAACCCAATCCGGGTATTCATGACCCAACCGACCTCCATGAATTGGCGTTTGGCTAGGTGGGCCCTACTTTTATCCCAATATGATTTGTATTTTAAACAGCAAAAGTCAGTTAAGGGACAAACTATTTATGATCTTTTAGCGGTTAGTCCTACAAAAGATACGGCAAAATTGTATGATGACTTGCCGAATAAAATCATGAAATTAACACCACATCACATCAACGAGTGTGGCAATTATACTTCGATGGTGCTTCCCGGGCAACCAATGTGGCAAACTCTCCCGGATGTTCTAAAATTTCCTCAGGAGTGGGGGTTGTTTTAGTTTCCCCGAGAAAACACATAATGTCCAAAACGTATTCGTTGACCGAACTATGCTCTAATAATGTAGCTGAATACAACGCATTAATAATTGGACTTAATTTTGCCAAAGAACTGGGGGTTGAAAACCTTGAAGCTTTCAGTGATTCTCAGCTGATAGTCAATCAGATTTGAGGAGAATATGAAGTCAGAAGCCTATATCTGATTACATATTACCAGGTGGCCGTAGAAATGACAGACTCATTTGAAGGATTTTTCATCGAGTACATTCCACGTCTCCAAAATGCATATGCAGATGCATTGGCGGCGTTAGCCATGTCTTTGGCTCAGCCTCCCGAAACAGAATAATTAGTCACAGTGAGAACTCACCACCTTATTGTGCCGATTTACGATACGATTGTCAAAGAGGCATGCTCAATAAGAGTCGAACTCGAAGCTCGAGATTGGCGTTTTCCTATTATCGATTACGTCCTACACGGTATTTTACCTGAAGATGTAAGAGAAAGAGATTCAGTTCAGTGAAGGGCACCGAGATTTTACTATAACGCTACAACACAAATGTTGTATCGCCGTTCATACGATGGTCTTACTCCGTTGCTTATCCAATAGAGAAGCGGAGGAGGCCATTAAAGAGGATCATGATGGAATATGCGGCGCACACCAACCCGATCCCAAACTCTGTGATAGACTCAGAAGAATGAGTTTCTATTGGCCAATCATGGTCAAAGATGCGGCTGATGATGCCTGACGATGCCATGCATGCCAAATTCATATTAATTTTATGCACCAACCTCCTGAATATTTACACCCATCAGCTACATCATTGCCATTTGTATCGATATTCCTATCAATACTTCTTCAATTCCCCTTCTTTTGGCTGGAAGTTCTTTGGCTCTTTTCTGTGGGCTTCCATGAGCTTCTTTTGTCTTGATCTTGAGCTTCAGTAAGGATTAGAAAATGAGAGATATATGAATTTTTTTGGACTCTTATTCCTTAATCCTTTATTTCCTACAAATTAAGATAAAGGTACTTTGTAGCAGATTTTTTAAATAAAATAGATAATAAGAATGCGAAAGTGTAATAAAATATAATGATCAGATGCCCACGAATCTTGTAAGTAGATTATTGCCTCTATGATAGCCAGATCTAGCGATGTCTTGTGGCCATCAATCAACCATCCCGATGTGCTGAAGGCGCATTCCAAAACTACGATAGAACATGCACTGTTAGAAAATCACAAGCCATGATAGAAAATATAGGATATAAAATTGTTCCATATACTTTCTACGATTATAAAATATTGTATATCTGTCCATTTGACCCTTACGCAAACATGCAACAAAATATTGTTCAATTTCATATCCTTTCCTTACACGATTAGTACCACCACTACTAATACCACCGATTAGTTGGTTCATTAGCATATGCCTATCAATTTCAAATGAATATGGTCCCGAACTTTGGAAAGAGCTTGATGCCACACAGGGCCGACCCTGGGGTAAGCCCACCAAGCCTCGGGGCTGGGGCAACCCAGGGCTGGGGGGCAACCCATTCCGACTGCTCCTTCACCCCTCAAACTGTAATTATCTTTGATTTTTGAAATAGACTTTGTAAGAGGGCCTTTATGCAAAAATGGTTAGGGGTTGTATTTGTAAAAGAACTCAACCCTTTATTTCCATCAGCACTCATTCCCAATTTCCGCCTCTGTTCCGCTCAAAAAAAAAAAAGAAAGAGAAAACCGCAGATCTCCTCCAGTCCTCCTTCCCGAGCCGGCGGCTCCTCTCCTCCTTCCCGAGCCGGCGATCCTCCGACGACCTTACTCTGCTCCCGCCGTCAGACCCGTGACCCGTCCTTCAGGCTTCACCCCATCAGGTAAAATTTTTTAACTAAATAATTTTAGGGTTTTTTGGAGAGAAATTTAGGGTTTTGATGTTTTGTAATGAAATTAAGATTTTTGAGATTGAATCTTAGTTGTTGAAGAATTAAATAAGGGATTATGATGTTTTGGAATGAAATTAGGGTTTGCTTTAATAATAATGATATTGCTAATCGGGCAATTGGGAAAATAAGGGGTCTGTCCGCAAGTAACCCTTGAAAATTTTCAATTATAAACCTGTCAATTTTATGGTTGATGCTTTTCTTAAAGAAATTGACAAATTCTATGAAGGAACACGAGATGATTGGCTACAAATGTAGTTATGCTGCATGTGGAATAGGCGTTTATAGGGTTTTCTATAGATTTTCTGTTCTTTGTCTGGTTCGCCCAAAATAAGCTAGAATAGTAAATTAAAAATCACATGTTTCTCATTCCACTGTTTTGTGCTAATATATTCATCCTAACAGTCAAACAACCAACGGCTATGGACACTTTGCTTATAACTTTCCTTCTTCCCTTTTGTATTTTACCATCAAAGCTTGATAATTTAATTTGCAGTTGAAGACTTATGCAAGTCTCTATTCTCTCTCCCCACCTTTTTTGTCTTTCATACTGTTTTCATATGAGTGAAGGGGGTTATGAACAATGATATATTTATCATTCGTTGATATTTCTAAGTTTAGTTGATTGTGATTTCATATATGTAATATGTTATATAATTATATTTACAGACTACAGTACACTATGACGGGAGATGACAAAAACCGAGTAAGGA